CCGGTCCACACTCTTTGAGTCGACAGAGGGATAGGGATGACTTCAACGGAGAGATTGAGGATGGGGAATGAGGTGGGAGTTGGGCGTGAATTCCCGGTTTTGGACCGATTGATAGAAATGCGCCTTTTCTGAATTAAGTACGGGGCTCGGGGCTTAAAGATTAAGCAGGTGGAGATCCTTCCACAAAGCCATCTTTATGTTGTCATCTACGTATAAAACCAAACCATGTCAGATTGGGGCTGCATGCATTCCAGAGTCGGATGCAAATGACAGAGCCTGGCACCCTGTCCGCCATAATGGCGTTTACACTGGTGCCTTGAAATGAAGGTGGCTCAAGTCCCGTTTGCAGAAAACACGTGCACAGGTTTTCCAGACAGTACGCACAGCTCAAGTCCCACTACAAGTCAGGTTTAGTGCGATCGTGTAGTGCGAGGTAGAGGTCTGAGGCGCTGTCCGCAGATACACAGAAAAGCAACTGCAAAACTCCAGTTTCTGGCACGGCTCACCAGTGTTTTGCTACTCGCAACAAAATGTTTAAAAAAATAAAAAAAATACCTCTTTTCACCGAAACAGTACAGGAGGTGAAGCCTTATATAAAATCCTTCAGCGGTTGTTTTCTTTTTTGCAATTTCGGCAAACCTCCTGCATAATAAAGCAAACAAGCATGTTGGGGGAAAAAAAAAACAATGAAATTAAATTTTAAACCGGACATTTTAGGCACCATTCCTACCCCTCCATTACTACGACTACAAACGAAAAGTCGCAGACTAAATGCACGCTCACAGCACACACTTCAAATTCTCCAATTCCGCCTATTTAGACGGAGAAAAATCCACGATTTGTAAGATTAGATTTCCGCACGCTTAGCAACTTCTGGGAATACTAGTGAAGTAAGAAAGTCTCATCATTTTGTCAATGAAATAGTGTCTCATGTCAAGCTGTACTTCATAATTATTCTTCTCAACGGATAATCACAGTCCTGTCTTGATTTTGCCATCTGTATATGTCAGTGCTGTGGGGAATGGCGATTGGAGACTTATCCTGTGTGGACTGTTCTCTAGAGCCGCAATGCGTTTAAACTACTGTCACGATGGCAATACGATGGTTAGTCATTTTAGCGGGTTTGTCGTTTTCACAGGTTTCTTAACGGCTGTAGTAAGCACAAGCGCGCACTAAATACATCACAGACGAGAATAAAAGTTCTAAATATGATGTTTAAAGGACAAACCGCAGGAAATTCTTCCCACCCGAAGTAAGAATTTGCAGCCACAAAGGGATTCATTTCAAGTAGCATAAATGCTTTGTATTTTATCAGAGAATTGCACTGTAGGTGTTACAGAGGAAAAACAACAAAGGAAACAGGAGATATTTACACAAAAGGAAAAAACGTAACTACAGGTCTAAATTGGTGAGGCTCGGATACAAGTGGAACAGATAGTGGCACTTTTTAATAAGGACAAAAAAAACAAAGACAACAAAAACACAGTACCTTGGTGAGAAGGAGAGAAGGCAGCTCGTGGTAAATTGTGGCCTCAGTCACTGCAGTCAGTGAGGGCAAATGTGTTGAAAAGAGCATTAACTAATACTGAAAAATTAATTACATTATTTAAAAAACAAAACAAAAAGGACAATCCTAACAATATAACCACTGACTACAAAGTGACTTATTGGTTTTGGTAAGTATATACAAATATTACCAAGATCTGTCCCTACACAGACTGATAAAACGCACACCGACAGCCTTAGTATTCACTCTGAAGACGACCAAAATAACAGCAAAAAAGAAATCAAAGTACGTTTCCAATCCCAGGGAATTTGCGTTTCCAATGCAGATTCTAGGTTCCTTTTCCAAATCCTTTCGAAACAGTAGTGTTTTCGGTACAGGATCAGAAGTCCGTAGATATTCCAGGCAGCCGATTTAAACGTTTTTGAAGGCCATTCTCCAAGGGCTGGTTTGCAGTCTCTTTCTTTTTGCATTTCCATTGAAGGCATTTTAAGGCACTAGTAAGGCTGCGAACAGATGCTAAATTCTCTTTTCTCAATCCCTTCTCCCTCCCAAGACAGGACTCTACCACCACTCGACAATAAAAGGTGACGGTAACGTTCTTGGAAAGCATAAAGATATTAAATTGGATCTCTAAGACACCGGAGTAAAACAAGTCCTCCACTCCTGTCAGACAGACAGACAGACAGACGGACCCTTGAGCAGCTTTGTTTTCTGAAATTAGCCTTTATGGCTCTTCCAGTGTGCCCATTTATTCTAGGCTGTTAAAGTGTATCTCAGATAAGGCATCCGACCCAGCCTGGCCCTTCAGCCCTCATCACATAGGCTGGCACTGAAGAGGCACTGACTGGTGATCACACACACTAAGACTGTGAATCAACATTTGGTATTTGTGACAAAGGGTTCACAACATCTGCATTGTAAAACGATTCGAAATTGCACCGACATACATGTGCAAACTGCCCGGTTTCAGTTAAAAACACGGTACACCCAAGCTACTTGCTTTAACGACAGAGATAAAAAAACAAACAAACCTGACACCTGAAGTTAGGGAGAAAATAAGGACCCACTACAGATCATTCAAGTGATACAACATTGGATGTAAGCTGTCCTTTTAAAGGCCGGCCGAGCTCCGTTCAGATTTTCGTATTTTAAAAAGGCCGAAAAAAAAAACATTCTAAAAATTCCAAAAGGTTCCTTTGATCCTGTGCACAGAAAGCCTGTTTTTTCCCCCCTCGCGTCCCCTCCCCGACGGAAGGCGAGGAAGGCCGCGTAAACGTGCCTCGTGTGACTGAAATCCTGTGCCCTTTTGCTTACACGACGTTAAACGACACGACGAGCGGTCGCAGCGCTTCCCTCGGGAGCCCCTCTGCTACCTCTGGACGATGTCGCTGATCTCCTTGACGGAGGACAGCAGCCTGGTGAAGTCCTGCGTGGAAGCAGCGCCCCCGGTGGTGGCCGGGCAGATCTGCAGCTCCCTCAGGCTGCTCTCCAGCTTGTTGATGGCCTCCCGGAAGGCGAACTTGTTCCTCATCTGCTGAATGGACTCCACGTAGCTGACGCAGTACTTGGACAGGTTCTTGCCGGCCTCCAGCACCGCCCCGTGGCTGCCCGTCTGCTCCGAGTTCCGGCCGATGGCGGCGCGCAGCTGCTCTGTGCCCTCCAGCACCATCTCCCGCGTGATGGCCGAGCTCACGTGCCTCTCCGGCGGCTGCCGGGTCTTCCTCAGGGACTGGCGGGTGCTGATGAGGGGGATGAAGGCCGTGGGCGAGGCCTGCTCGCCGCCGGAGGGCCCCGGCGGCTGCGACGGCGGCGGCGGCGCCGCCTGCTGGCCGCCGGCGGACGAGGGGGAGCCCTTGCCCTGCTGGAGTTTCGGCGCCCCGGTCAGCAGGACTTTTTTGGCTCCCTCTGGTGGCTGGAGGGCTCTCCCAGCCTCCGGCGGGCTGGTGTTCGCAGGGAGGGGCTCGGGCAGCTGAGAAAAGGGTTTTGCTTTGGTATCCGAGATGACGGCGGGGGCGTCCTGGGTGGGGCTCCAGGAGACCTTTCCCGATTTGGCGGAGGAGGGCGGAGGTGGTGGGGGCGCCGGCTTGGGCTTCTGCAGCTTGCCCTTCTCCCTCGGGGCCAGGTGATCGGGCTGCTGCTGCTTCAGCCTGCGGCCGCGGCCCTCCTCCGTGAAGGCGTTGGGCTTCTGCAGGAGCTCCGCCTGCAGGGCGCTGGTCTTGACCCCCTCCCCGGGCCCCTGGGGCCGGCGGCTCAGCTTGGGGGTCAGGGTGGGGGGGCTGGAGCCGGGGCTGGTCTCGGCGTCCCTGAACACCTCGTCCCCCGCGTCCTCCGCCTTCCGGGGCAGCCGCGGCGGCGGGGTGAGGGTGCCCA